TTTATTAGAACACAGCCATGCTCATCTATTTCCATATTAGCTATGTCTGCTTTTGCACTAAAATGTTGAATAGTTGCGACAGAGACCATATGGCCCACAAAGCCTAAGACTTTACAGAAGTCTGCTGACCCCTGGGCTAGATCCAAGTGGGTCCTTGGAGGAACTGAAGTTCCCCACTACAGATTTTTTGTTTCTGGATATTAATACTGGGAGAAGGGTGGTACAACTGAGACAGAATTTGCAAGGCTCTGATAAAGCAGAGACTACAGAACATAAATACATGAGGGTTGCCCCACATAGGATACAAACACCAGGTAAAATCTGGGAGGGTTGATCCAACCGAAGCATTTGGAGAATGCAGGGTAACATACAATTCAGCAGCAAAGGTACCCACTTACTAATTGAGCGGCATCGGACGTAGGTGAGACCCAATCCCAAGGAGCCTAGTGAAACTTCGTGAAGATGTCTGAAAATAGCAGGCAAGCTGAGCAGTATATGTGATACAGTGACAGACAATTCCCCAATAGTACCCTACTCCTTTACTAGGTGTCCTCAAGTCATTTAGCACCCAAATTTATCCAAGCATCTCTAAAGGCAAGTCTGGACTTTGACTAAGAAATGGATCTAGAAGAAAGGTTCTGGAAAGTAGGCCCTGGCTAAATATTCTTCCCAAATAATGGGAACATTTCAATACTCAGAGTCAGGGGCAGAATTCAGAAGACTGTAGAACCATCCACATGTTTTTCTAAGTCAAAGATTTAGTGAATATTTTATTTTCTATTTTTGATCATTACCAGTGGGGCAGATGGAGCAAGGTGGGGTGCGGTCATGGAGGGGAGAATTAGATAAAATCAATGATAGCCAGGCATGATGGCACACACCTGTAGTCCCAGCTATTCGGAAGGCTAAGGCAGGAGGACGATTGCTTGAGCCCAGGAGTTCAGGGCTGCAGTGAGCTACGATTACTCTAGCATGGGCAACAGCAAGACCTCATTTCATTCATTCATAAATAAATAAAATATAATTGATATGATGATCTACCCTGGAAGGTGTCTATTCCTCCTGGACTTTCACCTGTGGCATAAAACATTCCATGTGGATTTTGAACCAGAATGGGGGTGAGGGTGAGGGTGGGGAGGAAGGTCAACATGAAAGCTGGAGATTCACTGACTGATCCTGGTAAGCTTGTGGATTATGGTCAAGGTTTGCAGAAGCCCACAGACAGCCAGGCTTGAGCTCCTGTGGTTAGGTAGAGTTTCTCCTGCGAGGGAAAATACAGCTGCTGGGAGATTGGGATTTGGATGTTACAGCTCTGAAAAAGTTTCATGACTCTGAGTATCAGAGGTAACCAATTGCTTCATTGAGGAACTGGTAACACTGGTTGCCTCTGAGCAGAAATGATAGCAGCTAAGGGTGGGAGGGAGCTCCTCCCACATGTCCCTTTTAAAAAAACAAAAACAAGAATACATCGTTCCCCTCATCGTGGGGATAGGAAGGCAACCTGGGGCCAGGGCTGGAGGAGACAACTTCCTTACTCAATAGCTAAAGTAGGGGGCTAGAAGAGGGATCCAAAAATCAGAGAAGAGTTGCAAGTTGAGTAGAAAACCATGACCCAAAGGGCAATTCAAGGATCAGCACGCCAAAGTTGCCAAAAGCAGCTACTGAAGGTATGTTCCAGGACCAGAAAACAAAACACCAGGGAAATAGAGGAGCGAGAGCAAACTGGTGAATAAATTGAGAGGTGTCTGAGAAGAGCCAATGACAAGAGCCTGGGGTGTGATGCATGGCTGGATCTGTGAGACTCTAGGACCAGGAGTTCAAGAGTCCTGGGCAGCAAGGTGCAAACCAGGGCAAAACTTGGATGAGCAATAAAATGGACTTGGTGGGTGGGCACATAAGGAGTGCCTTCTGTAAGTTCTTATACAGCAACTCTCCTGCTTGGAGAGTCTTCCAAATCTTGCTCTTAGCCTTGGGTTTAGTGATTCTGAGTAGCTATGTGTGAATGGTTTGTTCTGGATGAGTGTTAGGGCAATAATTTTACTTTCCAAAAAGCTGAGGCATCCTATAATCGTTGAATATTTTCTGGGAAGCTCTGCAAATGGGCAATGGGGTTTAGGTAGTAGTTCAACATGACTACCCAGGACGTGATCTAAGGTAATAAATTAAGTCCTTTACATTACAGTCACTTGGAAGAATTTTTTTTTTTTTTTTTTTTTTTAGACAGAGTCTCACTCTTTTGCCCGGGCTAGAGTGAGTGCCGTGGCGTCAGCCTAGCTCACAGCAACCTCAAACTCCTGGGCTCAAGCAATCCTTCTGCCTCAGCCTCCCAAGTAGCTGGGACTACAGGCATGCGCCACCATGCCCGGCTAATTTTTTCTATATATTTTTAGTTGTCCGGTTAGTTTCTTTCTATTTTTGGTAGAGATGGGGTCTCGCTCTTGCTCAGGCTGGTTTCGAACTCCTGAGCTCAAACAATCCACCCACCTCGGCTTCCCAGAGTGCTAGGATTACAGGCATGAGCAACTGCGCCCGGCCACTTGGAAGAATTTGAATTCACACTCCTGATTACTTGCTTCTGGTTGCCTTGTGTCTAAATCCTGTCTGGGCCAACACTGCTTCTGGTACCTTAGACTCCAGCATGGGTCTTAGTCCAGCATCATATTGGCAGGGTCACTCCAGCCCTATTCATGGACTGGAATAAAATCCAGAAATAAATACTCTTAGGACCTCTGTGTTATAATAGGTTGAAGACAATGCTTGTACGTATTGTTGTGGGATCCAGGCCTGGCCCAGGAACATATAAGTCCGCAACAATTACCACTGGGCCCAGAGAGGGTTATTAATATCAGGTTGAGCAACAAAGTTACAATAGCTAGTGGTGGGGACTTTGATCCTGAAGTGCAGTGTCCCTAGCAGCAAGTGCTTGTGGGCAACCCAGAGTCTCGTCTGATCTAGGAAGACTTAATGGTCCTGAAATGGAATGTCTAGAAATTGCTAAATAGGTAGATGGAAGTCTATATTCTGTTATTTGGTTTAAGAGTGCTCTTATACAATATCTCTTCTTTGTGGGACAATGTCTAGCTTTCGGGGTGCCTCAAAACTGACAGGTGTTAATCGGAAACTTGTAATTTTTCAAAGGGAGTAGAGTCAGTGAAAGAACAGAACTAAAACTATGTTGAATAATAAATGTTGGGCCTCTACTATTGACCAATATTGTTTGCTTCCTTACAAGTTAAACAAGAGGAGCTTTTATGCGTAAAAATCCTTGGGTAAAACAAAGACACTGGTCAAGGCTGTGAAATGCTGTTACCAAACCACTAGCCCCCTCCATCCTCGCTAAGCATTCTGAGATGTTTCCAGTCTGTTTGCTATTACTTGTAACCCACTTGGGAAAAGTCCCATTTCATAAATCCTGGCAGAGAGGCAGGAACAGAAGAGACACAGTTTGAACTTACAGAGATAGCTTTTGGGGGTCTGACTAGAAAATCAGATAATCAAATAAATCAATTATTATAAACCTATTCACAGACTCAGAGAAGCAATTTATAAGCTACTGGCATAGAGTTAGAGGCAGAGGAGAGGAAGCAAATTACCCCAAATTGTTCATCTTCTGCAAGACTATTACCTTTCCCTTTAGACTTTGTTACTTTAGCCAATAGTGTCATCATTTTCTACTGATGCAGGTTCAAAGCCTCATGCTGTTCCGTCTGCCTGGGAAACTTTCCCTAATTTCATAGCTCCTTGTCTAACCTTCCTCACAGAACCAGTTCAAGAATAACCTCATTTATGAAGCCCATCAGCACTTGGTGATCCTGTTTCATAACTTCACATTGTCAGCTGGGCATGGTGGCTAACACCTTCAATCCTAGCACTTTGGGAGGCCGAGGTGGGAAAACTGCTTGATGCCAGGAGTTCAAGACCTGCCTGATCAACAGAGACTCAATCTCTACAAAAAATAGAAAAATTAGCAAGGCATGATGGCACACACCTGTAGTCCCAAGCTACTCAGGAGGCTGAGGCAGGAGGATCCCCTGAGCACAGGATTTGAGGCTGCAGTGAGCTGTGATGATGCCACTGCACTCTAGTCTGAGTGATAGAGCAAGATCCTGACTCAAAAAAAAAAAGAAGAAAGAAAAAACCCCAAAAACCCCACAACCTCAAGTCAATGCCCAGCAGTGTTCTAAAAATAGCAAATTCTCAAAACACATTGACGATGTTGGCATTAGTTACTAAAAACAAGCTGCTGTGTGGGAATCAGCACGTAGACAGCAGACTCCCTTGATTCAGAGTCTAGAGAGTCACCTGGTCTTCTTCCCCACACATCACAGCCTAGGCCTGGATCCCCTGGTTTTTATTTTCTAGGACCAGATCCTCCTCTTCCAGCAGAGGGGATGATTGGAGGTCCAAAGCACAGGACTAAAATGAAACAAACCCAGCCCTTCTGTGAGGGATAGATCTGTGAGAAGATCAAGACTGGTAGCCAACCCCTGAGTTCTGAGGGGCTCCCACTGAGTTATCTGGGCCAGATCAGCCCTTAGGCCCAGCATAGCTCAGTATGTCAGCATGCCACTGCCTTCTGTCCCATACCTCAGACCCTGACTGCGCAGCAGGCTGAAACTGTAAGCCTTCTTTTGGGGTCCTCCAAGAATAGCATGTCTCCCTGGGCAGAGATACAGACACCAGGAGATCCTGTTCCCACTTCTCACTGGCAGAATGTTGAGAACAAAGGAACAGGACAGCCACAGCAAGCTACAGTCTGGGCAGTGAAGAGATCCAGACTTGTTAAGCAAAAGAAATCACAAACAAGCAAGTACCAGAAGTCAACAGCCATTCTCAAAGTCGTGGAGAAGAGCAAGGAATATGGTCCAGTAGTCCAGCAAAGAGTAACTAGGGCATTGACACCTAGGGAGAAGTGGTAAGGGCTGAAAATAGGTGAGCAGTAAAGGGTGGCTAGCAGTGAGGTAGCTTCCTAGTTCCCGTTCAGCTACCTCACTGTCATCTCACCACGGTGTGAACCAATCCTGAGCTACCCTGGTGGGAACGCTTGTTGAAGATGACGCCTGCAGAAGCTGGCTGGCAGAGTAGTGGATTCTGGGATGGGATACAGGCAGGGGCATTTCCCCACCAGCTTCGCCCTGTGGACTCCATGTTTCAGAACTTGTTACCTTTTTCCTCACACACAAACTATTTTTCCTAGTTTCCTTTGAAAGATCAGACTGGAAGTCAAGTTTTCCAGGTTTAGGCTCATCGTTCAAAATACCCGATACAACTTTTGCAGAAACTTTCCTCATGTTCAAGTTTTCTTTCAGAATGAGTCTAACAGTTTCTTTATCTAAATTTAATTCTTCAGCCATCATCCTCACCGTTAACTGCCTGTTTGAACAAACCAAGTCCTTGACCCTCTGGATGTTCTCATCCGTCCGGTGGGTGACTGGACGACCACTTCGGGCATCATCTCGAACATCTTCCCGCCCTTCTTTAAACCTTTTGTGCCAGTCAAAAACTCTGGCCCTTGACATGACTTCATCCCCATAAGCTTCCTTTAAAAGATGGTGGGTCTCACTTGCAGACTTGTTCAATTTCACGCAAAATTTGATACTAATCCTTTGTTCTAAATAGCGGTCACTCATTTTGGCACTGAACAACACAGGAAGGTTAACAGGCCACGACTGTCTGGGGGAAGACAGAGAGACAAATCTCTATAGGGTTGTAGGCATAATCACGTCGCCATTCTTGCTCTTCTAGAAGCCTCGCCAGGAAAGAGTAATTGCTTTTCTGAGTTTTCGCCCCTCAGCTTCCAGTCGAGGCTGGGGAGACCCGTTCTGGGACGCTAAGAGGGAAAAATTAAATCTACAACCCACGTCTGTGTTCAACCAGTGCACGCAGATCTGCCCGGAGTTTGCAAATCAGTCACCAAGGTCATCTCGATTTCGTAGCCCTCAAGAGTCTATGACGGTTTCTGCAACAAAGGCCTAAGTGGTGGCAACTTAAGCAAGCAAGGAGAGATGCATCGGTGATGTAACGTGCAAGCTCGCCCCAAATGTGCAGAAACCCGCGCACGCCGAACCTACCGGAGTAACCTGGGGCTCGCCTGCTCTAGAGTCCCGGGGACAGGCCCGCATGCGCAATTCCCTCTCCTCCCGGGTTAGGCTTTGCGCAGTCGCACTGCGGCAGCCCGCGCCAAGCCCCGCCTCTGCCTCGCCACACCCCGGCAAGCGCGCTTCCTTGCGCGTGCTCGCCTGAGGAGAAGGCGGCGGAAAAGAGGGGCGGGGGAGGAAAGCTGAGGGAAGAGAGGGCACCCCCGGGCGCCGGAGTGCATTGTGGGAAGGAGGCGGCAGCGTCCCGGGCGGGCGGGAGGTGCACCAGCGGCGGCGGCGGCGGTAAATCCTCCCGGCCGCTTACAGCACTGTGGAGCCGAGTCTTCAGCCCGGCCTCGGACCGCGGCACCCTTCCTGCCCCTCGCGGCTTCTCTGCCGCCCGCCCCTCCCCCGCGCGCCGGCCCTGCCGAGCCGGCCGGCCGGCCTGGCTCCCCTCCCCGGCCCCGACGGGCGGGCGGACTGCCCTGAGGAGGCGGGGAGGGGAGGGCTGGGCCGGCCGGCGGGCGGGCAACGATGCCGAACTTCTGCGCTGCCCCCAACTGCACACGGAAGAGCACGCAGTCCGACCTGGCCTTTTTCAGGTTCCCGCGGGATCCGGCCAGGTAAGCGGCGGGCGCCGAGCTGGCAGTCCGGGCCCACCTCTGCGGTGAGCGCTGCCAACCCGCGCCCCCCGGCAGGCTCCGGGGCTGAGAGAGGCGCAGGGGGTACAGCGCACTGTCGTAGACCCCAGCCTCGGACCCAGGTGGGGAGAGAGCCGCGAGCCGTGGGCGGGCGGCGGGCGTCCGGGGGCCTCGGAGCACGTGCGCTAGCAGGGACTCGGCGCGGAGGGCACCACCTGAAATACGAGGCTACTGGGGTGGCGCGCGGAAGCGGGGTGAAGTGGTTTGTCGCCATGGCTAACTTGCTGTGTTACCTCGGGCAATTCGCCTTCCTCTTTGGGCTTTAGTTCCTTAGCTGTCAAAAGAGAGACTAGGACTCTATGGTTGTGGTCACTAGAGACCGCCCACCTTTGATCTCAAGTCAAGTCGCAAATACTCTCTCCTCCGGCCTTGTCATTGCACGGTTCAGGGCTCAATTTCTGGCTCTGATCCTTTACTCATTATCTCCCTTGGTTATAGTGGAGATAGCAGAGGATACGCGTGAGTGCGTGGGAATTGGTATTGAAACCTCTTCCTTGAGGTAATATAGACGTTCTATTTAGGGAGTGATAGCGTAGGGACAGTATTTGAAAGGCTGAGGATGTTTCGTAGGCCTCTCTGGTTCATTCATTTAAAATCAAGGCCTACTATGTGCCTAGCACTAATGTTAGGGGCTGAGAATTCAGAGGTAAGCGAGACAGTGTCACTGCTTGCAGAAAGCTCACAGTCTGTTAGGGGGACAGATACAACAGGCGATTATAATGTAGCATGCAATTTATTTATTAGTTCAACAAACACTTTTTGAGGGCCTACTGTGTGCTAGACATTGTTCTGAGCAGTGGGGTTTACAGATGAACAAACAAACCAGAGTCCTTGGCTCTCATGATTATATTCTAGTGGGGGGAAATAGACAAGTAAAATATATATAGTGTGTCATGGTGATAAATACTATGGAGAAAAAGAAAGCAAAGTTACAGGGTAGGGGAAAAAGTAGTAGCAGGGGAGGCACAATTTGCTATTTTAAATAGAGTGATCAGAGAAGGCGTGACTAACATGAATTTGAGCGAAGACCAAAGTAGGTGAGTGGGCCAGCCATGAAGCTATCTTGGGGAAGCACATTCCAGAAACAGTAAATGCAAAGGCAGGGCAGCCAGGGACTGCTAGATTTGCTTTACGGAAAGAGCAAGAGGGAAAAGATGAGACCAGAAAGGTGTATGTATGGTAGGAGCAAATTGTGTGGGACATTATAGGCCAGGGAAAGCACTATGGCATTTATTCTGAGTGAAATCAGAAATTATTGAAGATTTTAGAGCAGAGGGACTTAAAGTTTAATGGGATCATTGGCTGCTTGTTAAATAGATTGAAGGGAAGCGAAGGTAAAAGCAGAAAGACCAGTTGGAAGCTATGCAGTATTCCAGATTAGAAGAGGAGAGGGTGGTAAATTGTTGCATTTGAGATATGATTTGAAGGTGAAGCCAACAGGATTTGCTAATGGTTTGGATGTAAATTGTAGGACAAAAAGGGAGTAAAGGATGACTCCATGATTTTTAACCTGCGCATTTACTGAGATAGGGAAGACTGGGAAAAGCAGGTTTTGTGGGGGAATATTAAAAGTTTGGTTTGGGACATGTGACGTTTTAGAGGCCTAAAAAGAATAGATGTCTTTCTTCATACCATACACAGAAATGGACTCAAAATGGTCTATGTTTATTTAGATCAATGGCCTAAATATAAGAGCTAAAACCATCAAACTTTTAGAAGAAAACATAGGGGCAAATTTAGATATGAGACCAACAGCATATATAATAAAAAAAAAGATAAATTGGACCTCATTAAAATTAAACTTTGTGTATCAAAGTACATTACCAAGAAAGGGAAAAGAATGGAAGAAAATATTTGCAAATACTGCAATCGAAAAGGGTCTAGTATCCAGGGTATATAAAGAACTTTTACAATTCAACAACAAAAAGACAGCCCAATTAAAAAATGGACAAAGGACTTGAATATATTTTCTTCAAAGAGTTATAGATGGCTAACAAACACATGAAAAGATGCTTAGCATCACTAGTTAGTTATTAGGGAACTTCAAATCAAAACATATATCAAAACACAATGAGTGGCAATTAGACATAAAATTACCATATGACCCAGTACTTCCATTCCTAGGTATATATCCAAAAGAATTTCAAACTGGTACTCAAAAAACCCAAATGTACACACGTGTTCATAGTAGCACTATTCACAATAGTCAAAAGGTGGAAAAAACCCATGTCTATCAATGCATGAATAAAATGTAATCAATATATTCAGCCTTAAAAAGGAATGAAGTACCAATACATACTATAACATGGGTGAATCCCAAAGAACATGCGAAGTGAAAGAAGGCAGATATAAGAGATCATATATTGTATGATTCCATTTATATGAAATATCCAGAATAAGTAAGTCCATAGACACAGAAAACATTGGTGGTTGCCAGAGTCTGGGGGAAAAGGGAAAATGGGGAGCAACTAATTACAGGGTTTCCTTTTGAGGTGATGAAAATATTTTGGAACTAGATAGCGGTGATGATTGCACAACACTGTGAATGTACTAATTGCCACTTTTTTATTTTAAAGTGGTTAGTTTTATGTTATGTGAATTTCACCTAAAAAAAAAAAAAATGTCTTGAATAGGTCGTAGGATATACAAGTCTGAAATTCAGAGACTTCCAGACTGGTGGTTGTAAATACAGGTGTTCTCAGTTTTAGAGGGTATTTAAAGCCATGGTACTGGGTAAGGTTACTTAAGGAGTGAGCAAGATAAGGAGAGAGTAGGTCTGAGGCATTCCCAGTATTTCAAGTTCAGGGAGATGAGGAGAAACTAGCTCAGGAGAATGAGAAATAGCTGTTGGGTTTCATAGGCGCAGCTAAGAGGAGCATCTTAATCTGACCTAGCCTTATCCCAATATTAAAGGGCCCTTATCTGAGAAAAACATAGACATGCAATTTTGCATTCCACCATAAAGGTGTTTATGGACCCTTTACGGGCCCTGTGCATTCCTGACAGGTGAGCATCTGTAAGACATGTAATGTAATAATGGTTCTCTGCTTCGTGAGGGGACACCTGAGGACTCTGGATAACTTTGGCTGTTGTTTCTTCCTTGTATTGAGTGGAAATCTGCCTCCTGTAATTTATGCTTTGGAGGCCCTAGTTTTGTCCTCAGAATCACAGTAAGTCTGTGCTTTTTTCTGTGTTAGAACCCTTTGAATATTTCAAGACCAAATCATGAACTTAATTCTTTTTTTAAAGATCTTTATTGAGATATAATTCACATACCATGTATGAATAATTCACCCACTTAAAGCATACAATTCAAGGGTTTTTGGTGTATTGTTTTGAAAATTTTGGTAAAACATATAACAAAATTTGCCATTTTAACCATTTTTAAGTGTATAATTCAGTGGCAGTAATTACATTTACAATGTTGGGCAGCCATCTCCACTATTTCCAAAGCTTTTTCATTATCCCAAACAAAAACTCTAACCATTAAGCAATAACTTAACAATTCCCCTGCCCTTCAGCCTCTGATAACCTCTAATCCACTTTCAGTCCTTATAAATTTGCCCATTCTAGGTACCTCATATAAGTGGAATCATAAAAGTATTTGTCCTTTTATGTCTGGCATATTTTTCTTAACATAATGTGTTCAAGGTCTTTTTATCCAAACCAAATCTCATGATTTTAAGTTCTACTGTGTTTGACACTTTACTTTTCACTGTTCTCAGAGTTAGTTATAACAGA